TCTGCTGCACTGTTACTGTCAGTAATGGTTGCACCGGACATCACCGAGAGGAAGTGTCTTGTGTTGGCACATAGATAACTTCTGTGCCCTAGCAAAGATTTTAAATTAAATGTGTGCATGATAAAACCTCATCTGACTGTGAGAAAGGAAACCCAAGCACTCCAGTAGATGTAGGGACATACAAGACAGCATGGGAACCTACCAAATGGCACTAATAGTTGGAAATGAAACAAAACCTTTTGGCATTAACTGCCCAAATGTTGGGTAAATCAGCATTATCATTGAATCCATTTTTATGCATTCTGCTTTGCTTATGTCTAATAAAGATTTAAAAATCTTCCTAGTGGCTTTCTTTCAGTAAAACGGATAAAATGAATTTCAGAATAAGCCACTTAGAGGCTGAGTTGTGCTGTTTTGATGCAACAGAAGTAGTATAGCAGAACAGAAATAATATGTACATATAAAAACAAGGTTATTCACAAGCTTATAATTACTTATATACTCAAAAAAAGTTATTTTCATTAAACTAAAGACAATCACTTAAATATATATATATATCAACCCTTTAACAAATGAGTACAGCCAACACTGTCTTCAAATACCCAGCCTTCAAAACTGAAAATGAACTGCATGGAAAGTCTTTCTTGTCACTAGTACCAGCCAGAGAGTTCAAAAATTGATCATTTTCATCCTTCCAAGAACTGGTTTGGCAACTAACTCTTTTCTGTGCCAGTCTCAGCCTGTAAATCCAATTCAGTCATCCCCTTTCCTGTCCATGATCCCCCGACCCCACAGCTCTGATCCCCCTGTGCCCCCCGCAGCACTGCAGCCCTCTCCACTTCTCCATCTTGCCAGTTGTCAGCAGACATAGGCACACAACAAAATGGGAGTGAGGGTGTTTACTGGTCCCTTCATTTCATGAATTAACACAATGAGTGATTGGTCCTGATCGTTACTGTGTTCATTGACAACTGAAGCATAGTAAACTGTGTTAACTACACTTCATTTTGTAAATGAGCAAGGTTCCTCTGTACATTGTGCTTCCTGATCATTTATTTTGCAGTGCAGCTGAAGCTGCGGAGGAAAGATATGGGGACCTGCCTGATCTATTAAATCTGTAAAAATAAATAAAATTGTAACAAATAAAAAAACATAAATAAGGGCTCATTCACACACTATTTATATACAATCTTTGCATTTCAAAAATTATTAGATACATGGGTGTCAAATAACATTACAGGGTTGATTTACTAAAACATGAGAGTACAAAATCTGGTGCAGCTGTGCATGGTAGCCAATCAGCTTCTAACTTCAGTTTGTTCAATTAAGATTTGACAAAAAAACTTGAAGATGATTGGTTTCTATGCAGAGCCGCACCAGACTTTGCACTCTCCAGTTTTAGTAAATCAATCCCATAATGTTCTAACCTAATGTCATACCTAAACCTTGTATTTAATATTTTTTTGAAATGCAAAGATTTTATATAAATGGTGTGTGAATGAGCCCTTTTTCATGTTGTTTTATTTATTACTTTTCTGTTTATGTTTTAGTAAATCATTGCCTATGTGTTTTATAAAGACAGAGCATTTTGGCTGCTTCTCTCTAGTTTAAACTTTTTTATTGAGCCCTTCAGAACAGGGGTTAGTGCTTCTCTGGCTCAGCAAGCAATGACCTTGTTTTCAGCAAAGCTGTGAATAGTTGCTTGGTAAATGTATGAAAAGGAGACAGGAGCTTGCTTGCTAACATAAATTACATTCTAACTATAATGAAATTAAGTTTTAATTTTTGAATCTTACTATTTCATTTTCCGTAAAAAGTGACCGTATGTATTATATTCTGACTGTAGAATATATCTATGAACATTTTGATGTGCATTTTGCATCTTATTTCACATAAATTCAGCAAAGATACATGTTTCTTTTACAATGAATTTTATTTTAGACAGCACAACAACATAGAAACAGAGACAAGCACATTGATACAAAAAAAATAAAATAGTAAGGTGTACAGTTCTGTTGATGAAAAACATAACAATTGCACTGAAACATTGACACGGAGAGAAACGGAATATAAAAACACAATCTCAAAGGGGATGGAATGAGACCCTATAAAACTATGTTAACAGCAAACAGTAACCAATGAGCTGGTGGGCAAAGACCAAGGATAGGCACCAAGGTCGCATTCAGATGCTAGGAAAAGCTGAGCATAAAATCTTACTGGGAACTTATTGGAACTCTACACCTAGGACTTCCAAGAAAGTCCAACCGGTGCATAAGACATTAGAGGCACAGTTCTCTAGGGGTGTCTCAATCAGTGCATATAACATAAAAACTGACAGAAACAAAAAATAAACAAGAGAAGAAAAGGAAAGAAAAGAGAAAAGCGGAGAAAGAAGAAACAAGAATAGTAAAGACAAAGAAAGCGCTCCAGGGGATCGCACCAGGAGAATCTTATATTGACAGGAGGGTCTGATCAAATCTAGATGGTCGAGCCACATCAATCCAAGGATGCCAGATCTGCAAAAACTTAGTGTGAGTGTCCAACAGCATAGCCACTGCTTCTCATTAAATATTATAAAATTCATCCGATTCTTAAAGGCTTCAAAGCTACAGCAAAGATACATTTTTCAAACAAGAAAGATAAACAATGGCTTGGATCAATAAACATAGTGAGAAAATTATACATAACGGCTAAATGGGAGCAGACTTTACTACCACTTTAAACTGGTCAAAAATGTTAAAACATTTTCATTTTAAGAACATTTGCTTAATTTTCTGATTATAAGTGATCTTACTTCTGAATAGTGTGACCCCTGTTGCTGTATTGATGGGACTAGTGAGAGAGGACACTGCTGCCATTAATCTGTTGCTGCTATCAGATACTGCACACATAGGGAATGACCATCTAACTAGCAGTAATATTTACTGTGTGCCGACTTTATTGGGATGGTACTCATGTGCAGTACTGTAAAGACTGGGCCTCAACGCTAGTCGGCTTAGGAAATAGGGCTAAACACTGTTCACTCTGATAGCTCCTTCACAAGAACTTTACCTATTATCTATAGCAGGGGCGGACTGAGCATTTGGAAACTCGGGCACTGCCCGGGGCCCGGGGGTCAGTAGGGGGCCCCATGAGATGCCCTTGGTACCTTTTTCATAGGCTTTTTTGAGTTTGGGCAAGGACACATGTGCCCCATGATCCCCTATTGCCCGAGGGCCCCATGAGTTGTCGGTCTGCCCCTGATCTATAGTAAGAGGTACCTCTTAAGGGAGTCTTAAATTTCATTGCTGCCATTCATACTGTATATAGTGCACTCTAAAGTTGATTAAGCCTACTGTTTAGAGAGGAGCAGAATTGATTATCATTGCTGTTACTGTTTTCAAATGCAATACTTATTGCTGATTTTGTAAATGACTAGGCTTATTTTAATTTAGCTGCATAGTATTCCATTCAATGCTGCTATAGCCTAGTGAGTATATTGTATAGTGAACTGTGATTGACCTAATTCTTTACATATTCATTTATGTGCCTAGTGCTATTTCCTGCAACTTATGACAAAATATTGGGTTCATTTACCACTAGCCAGTGGTTTGCTTTTTATATTGAATGTTACTTATACTTACTTATACTGAACCTAAGATGTGTGCAGGGTATCTATATTTCTGCTCCCAGTAGCAGTACAGTATCCATTTGCTTAACCTGGTGTGTCAGTGGGGCTGAGGTTGTTCTCAGAGTTGAAGCAGAAGAACCCAATTTACCAAGCAGCTCCTGCAGGGGTAGCACTACACCTGTATCTGAGAGTGGCTGCTGCAGGAGAGAAGAGGGAGCACCAACTACGGCTGGGCCATAGAAGCCTATGGGTGACATCAGTGCTCCCAAAATTCCCTGAGCTGCAGGATCACATGACTGCACCGGACCAGATTAAGAGCAGGTAAGTACACCAGTTAGGTAGGATAGATAGGAGGATGATGGGGGGAACATTTTTAAGAAGCGTTAGACTTAGGATTTTTTTCCACTTTAACAAACCAAAAAAGGGAGCTACTAAGAGAAATTTGTTGTTAGGGTTTATAAACACTTCGGCATTTATCAAATTTAGCTGCATGTAACTATTGAAGCAACATACTGTATATTGTAAGCTGCCCAGGGACATACTGTATATGTATTCTGAATAGCATTGTGTAATATGTCAGTACTGTATAAATATATGAAACAAATATATAAATCAGCCCCAATATAATGTAATAAACAAAGATGATGAATGTATATGTAATGAGTTATTCGTTGAGCTTAAAACCTTTAAAAAAAATCTAAGATATGCAGTAATCCTGGTTTGAACAATTCGTTGCTTTCAAACATTGGAGTGGCATAACCATGAACTAGAAACATATGTGAGGAAGACCACAGTAGCTGGAAGCAGCTGATACCTTGGGGAAATGTGTCATCCAGACTGCTTTTCCAGCTTGCTTGCTATGACTGTACGTCTTGATGAAATAAGCCACTGCAGAAAAAGTGATGCGTTTTTAACCAGCTGAACAATTCATGGTCACTTTGAGCAGGGGCATGTTGTAACAATCATTTTCAAACAGTATTATTTTATTCTGAAAGTAATTTACGTAATGTAAAATTTAAGTTCTAAACTATGCCATAAATTTCTGTGGCCCTCACTTCACCTAGTGTAAGCAGTTTCTGGGAGTCGGCATTAGTAAACATAGACCTCACTAAACAAGAAATTGATAGGAATCTTGACTTCTGGAGCTAAAGCAAACCAACAAATGAATTAGTGTAATTCATACAGATAAACTAATCCAATGATGTCATTTTGGTTTTCATGTTACCAATGCTGAGTTTTATATATTATCAGGGGATAGAAAGACTCTGCAGGGCTGCAGTATTAGGTATTGTATATTTAACTTGACTCGGCTGGAGGGTATGGTACACATGCCGCAGCCACCATGGCCACCAAGGATGAGGCAAAATTATGCCAGGGAGATTTACGAAAACTGGAGCACTCAGAATCTGGTGCAGCTGTGCATGGTAGCCAATCAGCTTCTAACTTCAGCTTGATCAATTAACCTCCCTGGTGGTATTCCCAAGTGTAGCTCGGGGTAAAGTTTCAGTATTACAAGCGGTAACCCTTTGCATACAGTTTAATGTCTGTGTTCAATAATGAGATAGGTCTATAGCTGGAACATTGAGATGGATCTTTTCCCTCCTTGTGAATAAGTACTACATGGGCCTGTAGGGATTCTCTCCTCACTTCCATCCCACCTCCCAAAGCATTCATATATTTCTCCAGCTTGGGTAACAGTACTTCACTAAATTTCTTATAGTACTTAACTGTATAGCCATCCGGGCCTGGGCTTTTTTCCCCCCGCTGTGCTTCTTAATGCTATTTTAATTTCTTCCTGGGAGATTTCTGCGTCTAGAGCATTCAACTGTGCTTCACTTAGTTTTGGTAATCCCGCATTTTTTAAGTATGTCATCTTTATTTCATTAATTCCCTCTTGAGCTTCTTTTAGAGGGCCTTGGGGACTAATATTATATAACTTTTTGTAATACTCCGTAAACACTTTAATAATCTCTTTATTTGAGTGGACCAGCTCCCCCTTTGAACTTTTTATCTTTTCTATATAGTTCCTATTTTTCTTTTTATTCAAAGCTCTCATTAGATATCTTCCTGGTCTGTCTCCCCATCTATATCTCTCATTCAAAACCCTGTTGTATACTCTTCTCTTTTCCTCATCCATCAACCTCTCTAGCTCATCTTTTTTATCTAATAGCTTCTGTCTCGTATCTTTTGTTATTTTCTTTTTATGGATCTGCTCCAAGTCCAATATTTCTTTTAAAAGCCCACTGACCCTCTCTCTTCTTTCCTTTTTCTTCCTTGCTCCTGCCGCTATCAAGATTCCTCTTATGAATACCTTGTGGCTTTCCCAGACTGTAGCTATCGATACTTCCTCAGTTTCATTCTCCTTAAAGTATACCTTAATCTCTCTCTCGATTTTCTGAACTACATCCTCATCCAGAAGAAGAGCCTCATTTAACCTCCACCCTAATCCTCCAGTCCACCTTCTTCCCCATCCCATTTTCATTACGACCGGGGCATGGTCCGAGAACGTCCTTGTCTCTATGTCAATTTTAACCAGATGATCTATAAGTTGATGGTCTATTAAGATGTAATCTAATCTCGAGTATATCTCATGTGCATTAGAGAAGAAGGTATAGTCTCTGTCTTTCATATGCGTTATTCTCCAAGTGTCCACTAGTTGATATTCATGCATCGCTTTTTTCAAGACTCTCAGAGACCTACTCCCCTCTCTTTGCACAGAAGAGGTATTATCCTTTTGTGGGTCCATACAGAGATTTAGGTCTCCAGCTACAATCAAGCGCCCTTTTTTAAATTCCATTAATTTTTTCAACAGGCCCTTCATATACATCTCCGGATTTTTATTAGGGCAGTATATATTGGCTAAAGTACACTCAATCCCCTGCAGTCTACCTTTTAAGAACAAAAACCTCCCCTCCGGGTCAGTTCTTCTATCCTCCAGCTCAAATCTCATATTCTTTGCCAAACCTATTGCGACCCCTTTTGCTCTTTTAATTGGAGAATCTGCATAGTACCATGTTGGGTAGTATCTGGATTTCAATTTCACGTTTGCCTCTATCTCAAAGTGCGTCTCCTGTAAAAATACCACTGACGTAGCCCTGTGATGTAACTCATTAAACAACCTAAATCTCTTCCCTGGACAACTCAGCCCGTTCACATTATAGGTTATAAACTGTATTTCTTCCATCATTCCCAATTAACTCCATCCCTCTTCCAAATTGCCTCTTCCTCTTTATCCTTTCTGTCATACAGAGTATTACCCCAATACCTCCTCCCCTCCCACCCTCCCGCCCAACTCCCATCCCCTCCCCCCTCCCTCCCACAAATACTGAGTACTTTCCCCCGGGAAAGAATAAGATATCAGGGAGATGGTTTAGAAAGGAGGATACCCAACTGAGAGATGTTTTGGTGGAGGGGAAATTGAGATCACTTAAAGATTTAATAGAGAAGAAGGGAGATATTTTTATTAGAATAGATGAGTGGAAAAATATCATCAATTGAAATGTTTTATTGGAAATTTACCGAAACCCCTGAGAATAAAACAGGAGTGGAATATGTTTGAAAAGTTGTTAGAGACACGAAAGGATGGGAAACACGGTATTTCAAAAGTGTATAGAATACTCACAGAATTAGACACAAACACAAAGTTAAACTTTATAACAAAATGGGAAAGAGATATGGGAGTTGAGTTTGACGAAGATAGACAGAGAAAGTTGTTTAGATTGATACACGATAATATTAGTACGAGGGAGGTTGAGGTTAATTATAAGTGTGTGACACGATGGCACATTACACCGAGTGTAGAACACAAGATGAACGGGGAAAATTCAAATATGTGTTGGAGAGGATGTGGAGAGATCGGCACGGTGTTTCACATATGGTGGGAATGCCCGAAGATCCAGGCTTTTTGGAGGATAATAGTCAAATTGATTAAAGAAATAACTGAAGTTGACATAGGGTTAGACCCCAACGACGTGCCTCCTACACAATGTGGAGATATCTGTAAATAAATATAAAGATTCAGGTATATGGTACTTCTTGAATGCTGCGAAAGGGTTGATACCCAAGTTTTGGCGGAAATCGGAGGTACCGAAGGAGGAAGACTGGATTAATAGAGTAAATCAGATAGGTAGAATGGAAAGATCATACCATATGCAGGAAGATAAGATGAGAGTTTATTCTAGGAGGTGGGAAAAGTGGGAAAGAGCAAGATTAAAAGAGAAATATAGGAAAATATAAACTAACATGTTAGCAAAGCCTCAAGAGATTAGAATGGGCTAGAGTTTGCAGAGGGGGAGGAGGGGGGGGATGAGGGGTGGGAAGGAGGGGTTGTGGGATGGGGAAGAAAAGAGTTTTTATAGTAAGGGAAAGGGTAGAAACGTCATAAATGTTTATTTGTATAAGAATTTTTTTCCCTTTGGGTTTTTGTATTAATATGAAAAAATTTAATAAATATTTAAATTTAAAAAAAAAAAACAAGCGGTAACCCTGAGCTACACTCGGGCTTACCATGCGGCGCTGCTCCTCCGGGATCTCTCGATCACTTGCCTTGTCCTTCGCTCCGGCGATGTCCCTCCTGCAGTGTCCCCGGCAATGTCCTCCGGCGGATTCCGGCATCTGCCATCTGGGTTCCGTCCCCTGCGAGTGTCGGGGCGTACGGGGGACGGAACGGTGGGAAATTTGAAAATGACAGAGTGACATTCACTAAAATCACATAGTATAACATGACTGTATCAAACCATTCCACATACATTTTGTCCCGAATGCTTTGTCCTGTGCCCTGCCTGCATGTTTACTGTTCTTTCTGCCCTGGAAACTGAGAAACGTCCATGGCGTCCAAAAAGCGTCCCTTTAGGTCAAAAGCGGTTTTAGACCAGCTAGAGAACAGCGATAGTAAATCAGAACCACTTGCAGAATTGAGTGATAATGATTCGTGGGGAAATTCGTCATCAGACACTGAAAACGACTCTGCGACTTTGCTCAGTGATGTGCGAACTTGGCGCTATATTTCAAATTTCAGTGTTTTTGGTTTGATTATATTATTGAATTAAATTTATTATTATATTATTATTTTTTATGATTATTTATTAAATTATAATTTATGATTTTGTGTTTCAAGTTTTATCCTACCCAGGATGTTTACTAGACTCTTGTTCGGACAGATTTCAGTGAGTTATTCCTAAAAATTACAGGCCTACAATAAAAAAAATACATATTTCCATGCAAAAAAATGTACCGCTTTGAGCACAGAAATATGGACATAATCAGACCACTAGGGAGGTTAAGCTTTGACAATAAAACCTGTAAGCTGACTGATCTCTATGCAGAGCTGCACCTGATTTTGCATCATACAATTTGAGTAAATAAACCCCCATGTGTCACCATCAGTCCAGAAATTGAACTGGAAATCCTTTTAATAATGATCTAAAGCATGGTAGCAAATGCACCAAGGGATGGCTCAAAAAGAAGAAAATAAGGGGCTATGTACTTTCTTAGTCAACGCCATGAACTGATTCCATTGATATTTTGAAGGGGGTTTTGAAATGAGTGGTTCATATAAGGAAACCCACCAATTCCTTGCAAATAAAGCAAAATTGGATGGAGAAGTGGTCATAAATGTCAGTCAGTATCAGACTTTGTACAGAATTGTACAAAATGTCAGAAAGAGATTATTTCTGCTACAGGGGGCAAATACTAGCTTTTGATGCTAAGGGTGTATTTACTTTTTTTCATTGCGCACCGTTACATCTATTAATGTTTTTGTTGATTAATATGAAGGTTGAAGACATAATTTTTTCCTGTTCTTATTCAAGTAATTCACGTTTATCTGTAGGTAGTATCTGAATAAAGATTTAATGTTTGCATGTTGAAATATGTTGATAAAATCTGCAATATTCACAGGGTGTACTTAATTTTTCACATGAGTGTACCAGCTGAAAGATTTGTACTTCTGTCCACCCAGTTCTGAGATTTACAGCTCTAACAAACAGCACAGCCCTGACTGGCAATGGAAACCAGCATGGTCCTTGCATTGCAACACAACTGATTGGATCCTTCTGCTGCTTCTGTGTGACTCAGTATGAGCTCTGCTGTACAAGAGGCTGATACCAAGACAATTTCAGATTTGTACCCTGCAGTTAAAAATGAGGATGTGTTAATACAGAGTTGCATTAATTTATGTCTTTTATATCTGCCTGGAGTCATGCTTTAAAGTGGTTCTAAAGGCTGCAGGTTTATTACCTCTTTAGCACCCTAGATAGCTAGGAGGAGCTAGATGATTATCTTTTAGTTAGCGGCTGAGCAGCAGCCTGGAGGAATAGTCAGATGGGGTCAAATTTCAGTCACGGCTGAGAGCTCTGCAGACAAGTTTTCTGGAACTTCCCACTGATCTAGAGACTTGAAGAAGTCTCTAGAATTCAGTGGGTGGGGGTGAGGAGTGGCTGGTCTGCACGCTCAAGGGATCCTGACCAATCCTTAATCATGATGCTTGGCATGGGGTCCGGACAGTCTTTCAGAGTGACTGAGCCTGTTCATCAGCATGAAAGTTCGGGTGGAAGATGGAGTGAGCAGGATGGTGCGTGGAGCCTGGGAGGGGGTCCAGGAGAGGGGCCTACCTACAGGCAGTGGAGATGGAAGGGAGTATCTCTCAGCCTTACCGCCCCCAGAGAGAGGATGGCCTGGGAAGCAGGGAAAGAGCCAGCCCAGCCTAAGACCTGAAGGCAGCTACCAACTCACAAGCTTGCAGGAGAGACTGAGTGAGTAACCCCACACCCCCTGGACCGGATAAGGGAAAAGGGCATTCGAGTGGGGAACCTGACTTGCTCTCATCTGGGACTGGTTTCATTTAAGAAAGCAGTTTCTGGACCTCTTAGCCAGGGATTCCTTTGGGCAGCTGGGTGAAGAGGAAATTTAATCTGGGGTCTGGGGAGGTACACAAGGAGAGGCTGGCTAGCTCTCCTTGTACAAAGTTCCAGGAAGTTGTCCTCAGTTTTACAGTTCCTTGGGCATCCCATTTACCTCTCATCCCCTTCCAAGTTATCATATCCTAATAAAATCCAAAAAAACAACTTCAAGGACTGTTTACTGTCTCTGGAATGCAAGGTCTGAAGGAGATGCGGGTTTCCTTGCTGTGCAGAACTATAGGGGGACCCAAATCTCTAGTGACTCCTAAGGGGGTAGTGCTACACCCCTAATACTTATCTGATCCCAATCTCAATCCAGGAATGTGCACGAGAGCAGCGGCTCTCCCAGCTCTCTCCCCTTTCATTGGCTCAGAGACAGCTCCCGGTAATGTCAATTCTAGTCAGCAGGGCCAGGGCTGAGCCACACTCTCTGTGTCTATAGACACACAGAGTGGGGCTCAGGAGTGAGCATGCACAAGTGCCCCATAGCAAGTGGTTTGCTATGGTGGGATTGGGGGTAGAGCCAGGATTGCCAAGGAAGATTGGGTTGATCTGTGCAAACCAAGTGCAAACAGAGCAGGTAAGTATGACATGTTTGTTATTTAAAAAAAATACCTTTAATATCACTTTAACAGAGAGGAACATTTTAAATTAAATATTAATTAAATTAAATTAATTTAATTAAACATGTTACACAAATAGTCATTTCCCTATTTCTGTTTTGGTCATGTATAGATAAATATCAACATTTGAGTCTGTAAAAGGAAATAAGGTATTTTTCTGATAATGTTTTACATTTGTTGTCTCTGGACTCACATCAGCCACTACATACAATGCTGTTGGGAGCATATCTGTAACGTTTAATACAAATGAATCTCAGTCCGACAAATACAGAATAACATAACTCAATGCGGTCTAGGCTTGGTGGTGATTTGTCTTCTCCCTGTAGTTCTCCTTTAAGGCATATACAAGTAAACAGTATATTCTGCTTTCCCAGTATTGCACTGTTATTATTCTAGATCTTGCTTGTGTATAGACTGCATGGTGTGTCTTGCTTTCCACCAGACAGCCTTATTTTTTACATTTCACCTTTGATTCTGAGAAAATTAAACCCTTTCTTCATTTGCACATGAGTTCCTGTGTAAATCCCCAATGAGATGTATGAGCGGGGCCTTCCAGGGCACAGATGGAAATGTTCCCACGCTAAAGGCACTTTGTATGGTCTGTGCACAATGCAGTTATGGGATCTCTTTATTATCTATGTATCTCTGTTGAGTCTTTCTTAACATAGAAAAACATATGAGCTTTCAGAGACACCACACTACAGAGAGACACTTTTGTAATGGCATGACATTTACTGAAAACAACATCCAAAAACACTGAATTTAGATTTAATTTTATATATATATATACTGTATATTCATATGTATACAGTAATAAAGGTCCACTATTATACCTTTTCACCACATTTCACATAAATTGGAGAGGTATGCAGATGTTGTACTTTACTAGATCACATAGTTGTCTCATTCACCATGTTTGCTAATGTCACCTTGCATATAGTTGAGTTTTAGGCTGGGTCCACACCTATGCAGGTTCTGCATTGCGTTTTTGCACCTGCATTTTTTATGTGTTTTTGATGCTAGTTTTTCATTTTTTTTTTTCATTTTTCTTGTTGCTAGGCAGATTTAAAACTCAAAATGCATCAAATACGTGGCAAAAACGCCGCAAAAATCCAATACCTGCTTTTTTGCAGCATTTCCATTGAAGTCTATAGCAATGTTTCTCAACCTTTTTCTAGTCAAGGCACCCTTTAAAATTATGGACAGTCCCGAGGCACCCTTTAAAATTATGGATAGTCCCGAGGCACCCTTTAAAATTATGGACAGTCTCGAGGCACCCTTTAAACTTATGGACAGTCCCAAGGCACCCTTTAAAATTATGGACAGTCTCAAGGCACCCCATTCTAAAATGTAAAAAACTATTCTAATAGTTTTCTGTAACGAAGCAACATCCACACATGTAGGATACCCAACGCTAGAGGTGATTAATCCTTCCAAATCAAATACACTTTTTCACAATGGTCCTGACTAGTATTCTAGTGTTTCTCTCAGTTTTACTCCATCACTGATCTAATGTTACCCCAGCACTGATGGAGAGAGAAAGGGGAGAGTCAAACAAGGATGTTGTGCAGGCAACTGACATCCTCCTTATTAACTGATGATGTCATAGGTTGTCAGGATGCCGGTGGCTAGAAGGTCATAGTGGCGCACAATGAAAACCTGTGGCTTTGTGTAACTGAAAAGTAGGCTTCTTCCACCTGATGGCTTGTATACACATTTTGTGCAACTTTTAGACAGGGGCATCCCTGTAGAAACCTCAAGGCACCCCCGTTGAGAAAGGCTGCCCTATACAAACAAAAACGCAACGTTTTGCAATCATAAAAGCCCCTGACCCTTTTCAAAAAATGTACCGAGTGAAAACGTGGAGATGCGAACCTGTCCCATAGGAAATCATGTTAAATGGACTTTGCTGCATTTCTGCAAAATGCTGCAGCAAATGCTTAGGTGTGAACCTAGGGTAAAAGCTAATCTCCAGCTATTTTTTTGGAAGTACTGGGGAAGGACTAGAACCTTCTGTTAGGTTACTATCGCTGTCTGCGTACTCAGTAGGGAAATGCTTCTTTAGTTCATCTCCCAATGGTACCAAGAAAGGAAATGAGAACAGGTTTCACTAGGGTGAAAAAAAAAAACAAAACAATTACAGCAATCAAAACTTAACAGAGACACTAACCCTTCCCCATTCTATTCTCTTTGTTTTCTTCATTGCATTTTTGCATGATTATCACAACTATTGCTGTGACTGTATGTGTATAGAAGATATCATTATGTTAAAAAAAATGTCCAGATGGTTTTTGCGCATGTCAACCTCTCCTAGTACTTATGTCTATAGATGATGTGTTAAACTGGGCCCCCTAATCTTGTGTCTTGTGACTTAAAGTGGAAGTAAAACTTATTTTTTTTGTTTGAACAATGCAAATACCTTACCGTGCTGCTCCAAGCTGGAAATGGGAAAACGGAGTCACCCCACTGGCAGATGAAAGAAGGGAGCAGGTGTCCAGAAGCCACTCCAGCATCAGCCAATTCAATGGGGAAATGAATGCCGCTCAACCGACCCCAGGAGTCAGATGTATATGATGGCCTCAGCCACTGCTCCAGCCATACCCTCTGATGCCTATTGCCCCACCCACCAGGGCTTGATCATAGAGGCAGTGAGGATGTTGGGAGGCAGAGAATTTATTTGCATCATTGGCTGTGAAAGGGAAACAGGCATGTATATGTGTTTGTGAATAGTTAAGAAAACTTATTGTGGATTAAAAATGGAAAGAAAAAAGAGGAAGAAAAAAGGAAAACATTTCTTATACAAAGGGAAAAAAATAGTAATACTAAAGAGAAATATGAAAAATAATACTAAAGAAAAAGAATTATAAGATGTAATGAAAAGGTAAAAAATAATAATAATAATATAAAAAAGTAAGAGGAAAAAAAAAAGAAGAAAAGGTTCCAGATAACTACATTCTATATTATAATTTGACAATAAAATAATGATAAGGCAAGGGGGAATGTGAATGGAAATGGAACAAGGAGGAAAAAGAAAAAGGAATATGAAACAAAAAATAAGAAAAGACAAAAGTGTTAATATGGCATGTAAATGTGAAAAACTAAAACATTTTTTAGTAAAATCAAAACTCTCTTGTCCTTATCAGGGACATCATACAAAACATGAAAAAAAGAGAAGGGGGGGAGGGGGACAAAGGAGAGGGAAGAGAAGGAGGAAAAAAAGGGGGGGGGGGGATGGGGGAGGGAAGAAGGGGAGGGGAAGGGAGGGGGTGGGATAAAGGAGGATAAAATGGAGGGGAAATATATTTTTTATCTTTTCATCTTTTAATTTTTCAGTACATCTTATAATTATTTTTCTTTAGCATTATTTTTCACGTTTCTCTTTAGTATTATTATTATTTTCCTCTTTAGTATAAGGAATTTTTTCCTTTATTCTTCCTCTTTTTTGTTTTCTTTCCCTTTTTAATCTGCAATAAGTTTTCTTAATTTGTCACTAGCACATATACACACGTTTCCCTTTCAAGACAAATGATGCAAATAATTTATCTGGCGCCCAACATTCTCACTGCCTTTGTGATGAAGCCTTGGTGGGTGGGCGTGGTGAAATGCATCAGAAGGCATGGCCAAAGAGGTGGCTGAGGCCATCCCATACATCTGACTCCTGGGGTCTGTTGAGCTACGTCCATTTTCCCATTTTATTTTTTTGTTCTCTTAAATTAATAAACATGTCACACTTACTTGGTCTGTGCAATGGTTTTGTATAGATCTGCCCCGAGCCTCCTTTTCTGGGGTCCCGCCACCGGTGCTCTAGTCTTCTTATTTTCTGCGTGTGCCAACATAGCAACCCACTTACAATGGGGGCGCCTCTGCCAGCTTGCTCTCGAGCTAGGCTGTGTGAGTCCATAGACACAGTTGGCTTGGTTCTGCCTCTGCTCCCCCTCACAGGTTTTGAGTAACAGCGGCAGGAGCAAATGGCTGCCATTGTTGCTTCCATGTGAGGAAAGAGAGAAAAGCCTCTGTAGAAGGGCACAAGGCTGGTATGAGAAACACTTTCTACCATGTGACTTGAAAGTATCTTCTATTTTTGTTGCTCACTTCCCTTATTTGTTATGATTTATTTCACCCTTGACGAAGCTCTTATTTGCAGTGAAACATTTAGGATTCTTTTTCTTTGATTTTGGGAGCACTTTTTGTTCTGTGGTTATTCTTTCCCCCAAAAAATTCTGGGGTAAAGAGCAGTGAACACACTCTTGCAAATTTGGTGAATCCTTTAGCGAGTGAGGAATTTGACGATATGGTGACATACGGTGCTTGTCCATCAGTGGTTTAGATTAACTACTTGCCAACTGCAGACAGCCAAATGACAGCTACACTGCGGCCGGCCAGTTCTGGGTGGGCGTCATATGATGTCCTCCCAGAACGTGCTCTCCTGCACACACAGCTGATCACGTGATGTGGTAAAAGGCCAATCACAGCGGCCTTTTACCACGTGATCAGCCGTGTCCAATGACACGCTGATCACCGGAAAAATGCAATTGCCGGTTCTCAGCTGCACTTTCCGAATGACGGCTTCACTGCGGCCGGCCAGTTCTGGGTGGACTTCATATGACGTCCCCCCAGAACGCGCTCTCCTGCACGCCCCAGGGGGCGCGCACCCGGCGATCTCCGTGATCGCTGTGTCCTACGGACACAGCTGATCACGTGATGTGGTAAAAGGCCGATCCCAGCGGCCTTTTACCACGTGATCAGCGGTGTCCAATGACACGCTGATCACAGGGAAATGCAAGTGCCGGTTCTCGGCTGCACTTTCCTCACGCTGTCAGATCGTGAGGAAAGTACTGCCGAGAACCGGCAGTTGTTAGAGCAGGGATCGGCACCGGTCATCAGGGTCACTGATCATCAGTGCCCTGATGATCGGTGCCCAGCAGTGCCACCCACAAGTTCTGCCCACCTGTGCCTAGCAGTGCGCCCACTAGCTCCGCCCACCTGTGCCCAGCAGTGCACCCACCTGTGCCACCCAGCAGCGTCACACACCTGTGCCCAGAAGTGCCACCTACCTGTGCCCAGCAGTGCAACCCACCTGTGCCCACCAGTGCTACCCACCTGTGCCCACCAGTGCAGCCCAGCAGTGCTGCCAGTCAGTGCCACAAGTCAGTGCCCAGCAGTGCACCCAACTGTGCCCAGCAGTGCACCCACCTGTGCCACCCAGCAGTGTCACACACCTGTGCCAAGAAGTGCCACCTACCTGTGCCCACCCACCTGTGCCCACCAGTGTCACCCACCTGTGCCCACCAGTGCAGCCCAGCAGTGCTGCCAGTCAGTTACACCAGTCAGTGCCCAACAGTGCCGCCAGTCAGTACCCATCATCAGTGTCGCCTATCAGTGCCGCATATCAGTGCCGTCTATCCGTGACACCTCATTAGTGCTGCCTATCAGTGCCGCCTACCCCTGCCACCTCATTAGTGCTGCCTATCAGTGCTGCCTATTAGTGCCCTTCAGTGCTGCCTATCAGTGCCCATCAGTGCTGCCTCATCAACGCATATCAGTGAAGGAGAAAAATTACCTGTTTGAAAAATTTTATAATAGAAACAAAGAAACTTTTTTTTTTCAAATGTTTTTAATTTTTTGGTTTATAGCGCAAAAAGTAAAGCGCCCAGCGGCGATTAAATACCACCAAAAGAAAGCTCTATTTGTGAGAAAAAAAATAAAAATTTCATATGGGTACAATCTTGCATGACCGCGCAATTGTCAATCAAAGTGCGACAGCGCTGAAAACTGAAAATTGGCCTGGTAAAGAAGGGGGTATAAGTGCCCGGTAGTGGTTAATGCCACATGGATGAATGTACCCGTATGACATACAGTATCTGTAGTAAGGCAGACTGCCTATCTTATTTAGGAGGAACTTCAAATTCAAAAAGTCAGATTTGAGACGGATGATCTTCAGGTGGTCTGGTACTAAATTACCATAATTATTAATACCACCTTTTGTGGGTTTGGCTATTTGTTACATTCTACTGTCATTCTACCCTATCAGTATATCTGCCCCCTGTATTTTTGCATTGGCCATGTCTTGGTAGGTTTGCAGTTGTGCCATACTCTTTCTATGACGGATTGAACAGTGCTCTGTGAGATGTTCAAAGCTTGGGATGTTTTTGTATAACCTAACCCTGCTTTAAACTTCTCCATAACTTTATCCCTGACCTGTCTGGTGTGCTCCTTGGCCTTCATGATGCTGTTTGTTCACTAATGTTCTCTAAAAAAAACCTGAGGGCTTCACAGAACAGCTGTATTTATACTGAGAATAAATTACACACAGGTGGACTCTATTTACTAATTATGTGACTTCTGAAGGCAATTGGTTCCACTAGATTTTAGTTAGGGGTATCAGAGTAAAGGGGGCTGAATACAAATGCACGCCACACTTTTCAGATATTTATTTGTACAAAATGTTGAAAACCATTTATCATTTTCCTTCCACTTCACAATTATGTGCCACTTTGTGTTGGTCTATCACATAAAATCCCAATAAAATGCATTTATGTTTTTGGTTGTAACATGACAAAATGTGGAAAATTTTAAGGGGTATAAATACTGTTTCAGGCACTATATGATAATATGAAGTCATGTGCTGAATCGGGATCACGTACGTCTTTAGAACAAAGTGTGCCTTCCTTACTCTATTGGCATACATATTTAGAGTCATAAACATACTATTTTATGTCAATTCCTAATAAAGGTTATTTTTTAATCAGTTGGCCTTTGCTGGATAGGGACATGCACCCTAATTCAGTTGGAAGTTCTAATTGTCACATAAAATTTACTTTGTCAATACATAAGGCTTTGTTACTGGATTGAAAGAGTGCTCAGGTATGTATTTGGAGAGGCTCGGGGAAGTAGCTTTTGAAAGATTTTTTACCTTAATGCAGAGAATGCGTTAAATTGGAACTTCACTCTCCCAACACTGATTTTTTTTTAATCCTTATGCTAGTAGCATAAGTAGATAGATAGGAAAGTATATCGTATTTAGTTGATTAAACATTTCTCTTCAGTTACTTCCTGGTTTCCTTGCCTTGGCAAATGATGTCATGCATCTCAGAAGTCTTCAAAAGTGGAGAAGTGGGTTTTCTTAGCTAAGCACACTCTTTTGCTTAAGTATAAAAGAAGTGCAGCGCTAAAAACACACAATCAATAAATTAGGTGGAACAGTCAAGTGCAGCATAAATGTGTATTTACCTTGCGTAAATATAAATACAGCAATAAATAAATAAAAGTCCGTGAATGACAGTGACAATCCGTGCACTAAAGTGCAAAAAATCAATGACAATGTTCGTGGATGTACATATTAAATTACAATTCCATCCAACAAATGCGTTAGATTCGTGTCCTAATGTTGGTAATGTGCAATACTTTCAATGTGCAGGATGTGAAAGTGTGAACAATCACGAAAAGGAATTCACCACCTTGGACAGATGTACACTCACCAGAAGATATATGGTATCAGGCATATATATCATATGTCACATCTGGAGGTGAAGCGGCAGCCAGGGGGTTAATCTGGGTTTAGGTGGAAGAAGGGACCTTTGTCCTATGGAAAATAGCTCAACCACAAGAGCCAGAAATATGTATATAGTGTAGTATTTTTATTATTATTCTTCCAATAAAATATAGCAATCCAGGTGGAGTAAAAGATAAGTAATAACAGATACCATAAAGGCCGCCGTTCCATCCTTCGGCAGCGGCGGCGTGATGTCAGCAATGTAGGCTCTACCCACGTGTTTTGTCCATATGCACGTCCTCAGGGGTACGCCCATACTTTTTATACACTTTTTTGCCTGTATGCCTAAGCTAATGGAAGATGGATTCCAGAAAGTAACTGCTACTGCCCTTATTCAAGATGGCCACAACCAGAAATGCTAGAGGGTGTTTTTCAAAGTGATTTCTCTGCAAAATAAAGCATGGATGGATATGGGGGGTTTGCTTTGAATATCAAAAATGAATTAAATAGCGTTTTTGGTTTGTGGTCCTCTGTTGGAGTGTAGTTCTGCTTAAAGGTAAAAAGCCTTTTGCCTTCGTAACCACTTCAACTGGAACTGATCTTTATTGAATGTGCCCTTGTAATCCCTGTTTTATTTTTCCATATGTTCTGATGACATTGTTGTACATGATTTGTACCCAGGGGCGGACTGACCACTTGGAAACTTGGGCACTGCCCAAGGGCCCGGGGTCAGTAGGGGGCCCCATGAGATGCCCCTGGTATCTTTTCATGGGCTTTTTTGAGTTTGGGCAAGGACACAGGGGCCCCGTGATCCCCTACTGCCCGGGGGCCCCATGAAGTGTCAGTCCGCCCCTGTTTGTACCCTATGTTCACATGCACTTTGTCATATGCTGTTCAAAACAAAGAATTAAAAAAATGTTTTAGTTGGAGTGCTAGCATATTGCAATCTGATAACTGTATGTCATAAATACATATAATGTTAGTATATAATATGTAAATTTCTTTCATTCACATGGCTGTGCTCACATATTTCTCCACATATACATGCAAACCAATAGGGGCCAGAAAAATGGACAGTTATGGGGGTTGGGACAAACTATTATACTGCTGGGAGTGTTTACAATGGCATCCTTTTACTTATGAGGTTTCAAAAAAACTGTTGCTGCAACTACTGAAGTAGCCTTAGGCTATGTTCACACTAGCTTTGTCAGCAGGCGTCAGACAGGCGTTTGGGAAGCGTTTTTAACGTTTCTCAAATGCCTCTGAAAATTCTGCACATTGCAGCACACAGTGCTGTTCACTCGGAAGCGTTAGCGTCGCGTCACGGCAATACTGACGCATCTGGTCGAGTCAGGAGGAATTGAAGCCTCCCATTCAAGTCTATGGTGCCGCTCCGCAAATGCCTGGCCGGTGTTTGCGGTGCGGTTGTGACGCGGTTGCGGGGCGTTTGCGGAGCGTTAATACCATTTAAACTTCATTATAGGAGTTTGTGGTGTGGTTTTAACGCTTAGCAAATGCCTATCATCCGCCTCAAAGCTGCGCATAGGGCATTTTGGGAGCGTTAAAAATGCTTCACAAACGCCTGTCTAACGCTTGTCAAACACTATAGGGGCGTTTGGCAAGAGTTAGAAATAAAGTCAAGTGTGAACGAGTCCTTAAAGTAGTTCAAAAAAGAAAAAAAATGTTTACCCTAATGGATTCTCTGCAATAATCTGGTTCCCCAGCCTCCCTCATAAACATTTTCCTGAGTCCAATCTCCATCCATCCATCCCTGTCTGCAGCAGCTCTTCTCCCCTCTCTCAGGTGACTCAGCAGCAGTAGGAGTCATTGGCATCAGTCAAAACTTGAGAGGAGGTTGCGAGGGGGGGGGGGTTTGGGGTGGTCTCGAACTGCGCTGTGTGTGTCTATAGATGCACACAGCCTGGCTGGGGAGCAAGCTTGCACAAGTGCCCCCATAGCAAGCAGTTTGCTATGGGGGCACTCAGAGAAGAGGAGAGCATTGGTGGAAGACCTCAGAAGTAGAGCAGGTAAGTATAACATAATTATTGTTTTAATTTAAAAAATAGCTTTACATTCATTTTAACAGTATTATAGTTTTCCCCAACCCTTGTCACTGTTGCCAGCAAACTTGGTATTCGAAGGTGGAGAAAATATAAAGACGTGACAGACAATATGGAGTTTATATATCATATATGATTGCAATGTGTATCAAATCCCAACTACAGGTTCAGAATATTCTCCTCTTTGCTTCTGCTCCCTGCCTAGGTACAATACTGCAGGCTTAAAAAACCTCTATACTTACCTTTTTTCCAGGTGTCTTCAGTCGTGCCCAATGATGTTATGGGCCGTCTTCCAGCTCTTCTGGCAGTGCACAGATCCTTAATGCTGCAATGGGTTCCACCCAGGGGCGGACTGAGAACTCATGGGGCCCCCGGGCAATAGGGGATCATGGGGCCCCTGTGTCCTTGTCCAAACTCAAAAAAGCCTATGAAAAAGGTACCAGGGGCAACTCATGGGGCCCCCTACTGACCCCGGGCCCTCGGGCAGTGCCCGGGTTTCCAAATGGTCAGTCCGCCCCTGGTTCCACCACACTAGGACATGGTGCCACTTTCTGCAGCATTCTCCTCTGATGCCAATGCACAGCTTTGATTTCCTGGACTTCACAGGATATGGCTTTACATACCCTGGGTGAGTATCCTCAGAAGAAGATCGGCTCTGGATAGCTGGATGGGTGAATCTGCGAGGACAAAATGCAAAATAGATTACCTAGAGCTGTTGTTTTATTTTTGGCCACTGCTCATTTCATTTTTTTTTTCCAAGCAAGAGCAAGGCTTAACCACATACAATTATGAGGACTCCAGTTACAGCTCACATGTGATGTAATTGTGGTGTCATAATCAATGGGACAAATCACAAAACAAAATTGGC